AATAAATGGAAAGATATCCTGCGTTCACAGACAGAAGGTGATATTGTCAAATATTGTGCAGCCACTGTGGAAAACAGTATGGTAGTTTCTCCCCCCAAAAATGAAAAATAGCACTCTCATACGATCCAGAAATCCCACCGCGGGATATAGAGCTGGATGAAATGAAATCATTCTGTTGAAGAGATATTTGCATTCCCATGTTATTCACAGTATTTACAATAGACAGTATTTACAATAGTATTTCCAAGGTGTGGAAATAACCCAAATGTATGTTGACAGTAGAATGGTTAAAGAAAGTGTGTATATATAAAGTGGAATAATAATCAGACTTTTCTTCATGAATTTGTGTGTCATCCTCGTGCAGGGGCTGTGCTAATCTCTGTATCGTCCCAATTTTAATACATGTGCTGGTGAAGCGAGCACAATAATCAGCCTTTTAAAAGGAAGGAAGTCCTGCCATTTTTTGACAACGTGCGTGAACCCAGAAGACCTCATGCTAAGTGAAATAAGCCAGATGAAAAAAATAAAAATACCGCACCATCTTATTTACATGTGGGCTCTCAGTGGTCAGACTGTGTGGCGGGGGGAAGTGGAGAGATGGTTTCAGGAGGTACAAAATTTCAATTATGCGAGATGAGTAAATTCTGAAGCTCTGTCGCACAACAACGTGACTACGGTTAACACTGTTGTATTATATACTGCAAATTTGCCAATGGACTAGATCTTAAATGTTGCCACCACAAAAAAGGTCAAAAAAGAAAACCGTAACTAGGTGTGGTAATGAATAAAAAAAAAAATGGAAAGGATTAAAAGAGATCACAGACTGAAAGATGTTATTTGCCAATTGCATAGCCAACAAAGAACTCGAATAGAGTACATAAACAACTCTCAAAATTCAATAATTAAAAATATTCCATTATCTTTGAGTAAATACCCAGAAGTGGCATTTCTGAATCATAGTGGCATTCCCACTAACGGCGTACAAGGATTCCTTTTTCTCCACATCCTCACCAACACTTGCTGCTTCTTGTCCTTTTGATTTTAGTTGTGCACAGGTGTAAGGTGATATCTCCTTGTGGTTTTTGATTTGCATTGTCCTACTGATGAGTGATGTTGAGCATTTTTCGTGTGTCTGTTGGGCTTTTGTGTGTCCTCTTTGGAAAAATGTCTATTTGGGTCTTCTGCCCATTTTTAATTGGATTATTATTTGTGTGTGTGTGTGTGTGTGTGTGTGTGTGTGTGTGTGTGTGTGTTGAGTTGTATAAGTTCTTAATATATTTTGGATATTAACCCAATTTGAAAAGATGTATGCACATATATGTTTACTGCAGCTTTATTTACATTAGCCAAGATATGGAAGCAACCCAAGTGTCCATCAATAGATGAATGGAGAAAAAAGACGTGATATATGTATACACAATGGAATAGTACTCAGTTGTAAAAAGGAATGAGATCTTGCCATTTGCAACTACGTGAATGGACCTAAAGAGTATTATGCTAAGTGAAATAAGTCAGAGAAAGACAAGTACCATGCAATTTCACTGATATGTGCAATTAAAGAAACCAAACAAATGAACAAACAAAGAAAAAGACACACAAAATCGTCTCTTTGATACAGAGAACAAATTGTGGTTGCCAGAGGGGAGTTGGGGAGAAGTGGGTGAAATAGAAAAAGGAGAGACTAAGAGGTACAAACTTCCAGTTACAGAATAAATAATTCATGGAGACGAACAGTACAACATAGGTAATAGAGTCAGTAAGATCTTAATAACGTTGTTTGGTGACGGATGGTGACTTCACTTACCATGGTGAGCACTGGGTAATGTAGAGAATTGTTGAATCATTATATTGTATACCTGAGACTAAC